GAAGGCAACGGCTAAAACGACGGACTCCCCGAGAGAGATGAAATCGGAAGTCGGAAAAACAAATTTATATGGTGTATCTTAAATAATCAAACAAATTTATTATTTATATTAAGATTATATTTAGTATTGTAATAATTTAATTTAGTAGTTTTATATAATTTTTTTTTTTTTTTGAAAACAAATATGATATATTACATCTTGATATTGATGGCGTGCATTCACACATTCAATACTGTGCATTTAGTCTAACATTATTGTGCAACATATTGTATGTGTATTTTTTATTGCGTTATAATTTTATAAAAATTAATAATGTGAATTTTCAATTAATATGATTGTGCACTTATCAAATTATTTATATAATAAAAAAAAATAGTATTTATAATTCTTATTTAATATTATATATTAATATTTGTTGAAAATAATTAATATAATATAATTTGGTCAATTATATAATATATAATATAATATTCTATTGTGCATTTTCAAGCTACTATGCATTTGATATGACAATATTGTGTGATCTGATTTTCATTAATGTGTATTTTTTTTGTAATACTATGAGTTATGTAGTGCGAGATTTTTTTTATTCGTTTGTTAATCGATTTAACTTAAATAATCGAAATAAATTATTATTTGTATAATAACAATAATAATAATAATAATAATATTTTACTATTTTATATACTATTTTATATTATTTTTGATTTATGATATCATATATATGTCTTACAAAAAATATATATATAATAATGTGTTTTTATATTTTATATAAATTACAGATTTGACCCATGAACGGGATTAAAATATAGTTAATTTTTTATTTAATTTACATATTGAACCCATGGGTCCAATTGAAATTAACTAAAATTATCAAAATTGCAAAACAATCCTTGGATCTTATCTAATTTACAAACACAAATCCTCCACCCCAAAATCTGTTTTCAGCCATTCTCCAACCAGCACGGACCTCCGTCAGGCCTCAATGCCCAAGGTGTTGTACTCCTGCCGACGAACTCTCCTGGACACTCAACCTCGCCGGTGGAAAAAGTTAATTTTTTTTAATCTGCCATTAAAGCTCGAAGGTCGAGCTTGAAGGTCGAGCTTAAAGGTCGACTGTTTCGGTGCAACGCCCCTCCCGCCGGCGACCTCTCCTAGAAGCTCAACCATCGCCGGTGAATATTTTTTTTCGTCTGCCATTAAAGCTCGAAGGTCGAG